TGGAATGTTTCTAGCCAGTTTCCCATCCAAATACTAACTAGGCCTGATACTACTTTGCTTCCGAGCATCAAATGCACCACACCGCACCTAAGCCTCCTCCCTATCCCCACACAATACACCATTGCCCCCGCCTTCCACCCCAAACACTCTCTCCTGAGACGAGACACTCACAAATCCGCCAAACCCACCCACCACACAAAACCCCGCGCACAGCCACCCCCAGGCGCGGCGCAACCACGGCCGGCTTTAGGCCAATACCTGCGATTCCCCGGAATCGGGCCCCGTGGGTAAGAGGGCCCCGCGCCCGTGCCTAAGAGGGCCCCGTGCCTTAGGCTCTCACCCGGTGGCGGTCCGCTCCGAAGGCATTTCAGGGGCGGCGGAGGAGGGGGAGGGTTTCCGCTCCGGGGTCTTCGGTGGCGGGAGTAGGGGGCGCTCCGGGGTCTTCGGCAGCATTTCGGCGGCGGGGGGTTCTTCTGTGCCGCGGAAGACATGGAGCGGACCACCCTCACCCCGCCGCCGAAGTGCCGCCGCAGACCGGGACCGCAGAATCGGGCCCCACAGGTGCAAAAGCCGGCCCTGGGCGCAACGCACCGCCCACGACGCAGCTGCCCCCCGCACACCCGCTGCACCCGCCACACTCACCCACCACACAAAACCCCGCACACCGCCACACCCAGGTGCGGCTGCCCCCCCGCACACCCGCTGCCGGTCTGCTTTGCTCACACCTCCTGCTGCTCGCCACACCTCACGCCTCCCTGGGGACGCCCTCCCGCACTTGGCCTGCCTTTTGCTCGCTCCGGGAAACCCGGGACGCGCGGCCCGGAGGCCTCGCCCGCGCCCTGCCTCGTCTCCCGCTTCGCAAGGCCCCGGGGGACGCAGGATGGCCCACCGCCTCCGCCTCCTCCTCCTCCTCCTCCTCAGGGGGATCAGCCCAGAGGCGACCAACACCCATCTTCCCACTTACTGGCCCCGAGCCGAGGCAGGGACTGCTCCCGGCCCGCAGGCAGCCTTCCCGGGCCACCTTAGGGCAGCAGCTGCCTCTCTCTCCTCCCACGTTTAAAGGGCCAGCTGCCAAGGAGGCGTGCTGCCAAAGGGCTTCCCTAAAGCAGCCACCCCCAAAGGCCCGGGCTGCGCCTTGCGGCTTTCCTTTCTCCCAGCCTCCCGCTCCCAGCGGCGGAGCTGAAGCGGCCGGCAGGGAGCGCGAGCGCAGGCAGGCCTTGGGGCGCCTGCCGCCGCTGCGGCCAGCTGGCCTCCCACCCACACCTGCTGCCAACGGGGGGCAAGAGCACCGGCTGGTAAAAAAAAGAAACGCGCCACGGGGCCGGGTGCCCAAAGCCCTCGCCCTCGGCAGCGGTGGGCGAGGCGGCTAGGGCCTGGGAGACCTTAGCGGAAGCAAGCCAGGACTCGGCGGCAAAAGCGCGTGCCCGAGGGAGACCTGCAGGCGGGGAGCGGCAGGGAGCGTGGCGAGGGCAGGCAAAAAGCCTACAGCACCCAGTATTCCCAGGAGGTCTCCCATCCAAGTACTAACCAGGCCCGACCCTGCTTAGCTTCCGAGATCAGAGGAGATTGGGTGTGTTCAGGGTGGTATGGCCATAGACGCTGTTGCCTGCCGCTTTGCCTGCCTTTAAGCAAGCCCGCAGACGAGCCCGGCTTGCTCCGTTCTGCCGATTCCCTCCTCCCCCCCGGCGCACAGGGCCGGCTCTAGGTTTTTTGCCGCCCCAAGCAAAAACAAAAAACAAAAACCTCCGGGAGCGCAACTGCCGAAACAAAAAAAAAAAAGTGGTGTCCGGAATGCCACCCCTGAAATTGTGCCGCCCCAAGCACGTGCTTGGTTTGCTGGTGCCTAGAGCAGGCCCTGGCAAAGAGACTGAGAAGAAGAAACTAGGAAGAGGGACAGGAAGACTTGGCCAAGGAGCTGGGAATGGGGAGACGGACATTGGATGAGGATCCCAGGGAAGGAGACTACGGGCATGTCTACAGTACTAGGTTAGGTTAGTTTACAGCCACTGCAGTAACTACTGCAGTGGCTGATGTCCACACTACCCTCCTTCTGTTGGTGGTGTGAGTCCACACCAGGAGCACTTCCACCGACTGAAGAAGGGCAGTGTGTGGGGCTGAGAGCCAGGGCTTCTCAGCTCTGCACTGCTCCCTGCCAGGAGCCCAGATGCCCCCCTGGGCTCCCCGCTCCCAGCTGGGAGCAAGGGGGGGGCAGCCGCCTGGGCTTCTAAGCAACTTGAGCAGGGAGCATATAGGCAGCAGCCCAGCTGGAAGTGGGGAGCCAGGGGGCAGCTGGGCTCTAGCTGCCCAGCTTTCTTGTCAATTGGAGCCATGAAACTAACAAGATAGCCAACAGCTGATGTAAGTAACTCAGTGTCTACACAGACAAGCCCTGGCCCTAATTACACTGACATAAGTACTACGCCTCTCATGGAGGTGGAGTTATTATGTCAGCGTAGTACGGCACTTACACTGGCAGGACAAGGCTGTAGTGTGTACACTGACATAATTAGGCTGATGTCAGTTGTCTTACATTGACCTAACCGTGTAGCATAGACCAGGCCTACAATGTGGATAATACCACCCCCTCACATAGGTGGTGGAACTATGATTGCTGGGGTTGCTGCAGCACCCCCTGGCTCAAAGTGGTTTCCATCATATATAGTGTTTACAGTTTGGTTCAATGGCTCTCATCACCACCGCTCTACAAATTGTTCCAACGCCCCTGCCCCCTCATCTCACAGGGGTGTTGCAAAGATAGATTAATTAATGTCTGGAAAGCCTCAGTTACTATACTGATAAGCATTATAGAAAAGCCCATGAAGAAATTAATAATTCTGTTTTCAGAGCAAGGTTTAATAGGGTGCTATATATCTGGCACAGGGCCACACATGGACCGATGAGAATAAAACACAATTTTGAATAACTGCTCATTAAGTGAACACTCTCCATCACGTGCACTGAATAAAGCAGAGGTCCTGGGGTGAGGAACACATGATCATGTAATTAAAGACAGTACCATAGTGCATAAGCACAAAGGGCCCTAAATAAGGTTGCAGAGGCCTCCTTAGTTCCAGCATTTCCTAACTTCTGAGTGTTTGACTTTGTAACCTTAATAATGTTATTTTAATGTAGTTTTTGTGGATAATTTCAAATTGAGTATAGATATTCTGTGGGGTTTAGGACAATGTAGGAACAAGAAGCTGTAGAACTTTCATAAGGTGGTTGTTCATTATGAGCTACATTGACTCACAGAACAGATTGTGGGACTGCTGACTTGAGAAGCGCTCAAGCCACACAAGTGATGTGAGCCTTTGCATAAATACACTAGTTTAACCTAGCCAAAATTTGGCTAGCCTTTTTCACCTATAAACTATTACAGTTTAATGCCAACTGGAAATCCAGCTTTATAGCACAGCAGTATCCAAATATGACCAGTATTTCCCATTGGGGGCCAGCTACAAGGAAGTCAACCTACTAAGTGGGTTTAATTCGGATTAAAATGACAAATATCATGAATCCTTTTACAGGTTTTAAAACACCAAAGTTCATACTATATACATTAACTTTACATAAATGTGAAAATGAGTATTTTTCTTAGAATAATTTTCTCTTTTTTTTGCTCAGAATACAAGTTACTTTTCCAATTTCATATTCCTAATACGAAGTTCTTATACATTCCATACACAATATAGCATTAAAATGGACTGGGGAATGAAAAGTAGTATGAAAAGTAATGTTCCATTAATGATGAGGGTGAAAAAGAGTTAAGTGCTCAAACATCAGAAAAGGCCAAATATTAACATTGTGGAGTAAAAACACATCACTCTGCCATGCTGCAAATCTCCTGTATTTCAAAGCCTACAATAGTAGGACATTCCAATTTTTAAGTAGTTAAAGTAACCCAATTTTTTTTTAAACAGTTTCATATGCTTCTGCCCATCTGGGAGAATCAAGGAAGTACTGCAAGAAGGGATGTTCTTAATCCAATCAAATCATGTTACAAGTCTGAATCTCACTAGATCAACCAGATTTCCAAAGCATACAGGTCTTCTGCATTTTCTGTCCCTGATCCAGCAAAATACACACTTAGCGCCATTGGTTTCAACAGGACCATGCACATGTGTTGCTTGATCAGGGCCTATGTGAACCAGCGTTTTTGAGATTTTACCATTTTCTACCCTCATCCTTCCAAAGAAAGACAATTGCATACACTCCCATTACTTTTGTATGTTCAGGAGTTAAGCTCAGTGCAACTCTTCGCGTATCATGCTGAAATCTAAGCCCTTTCCTTTAAAAAAAAAAAAATTAGTTCAGTTCTACTTCCCCTCTTTTCACAAAATAATGGTCATTTTCATGCTGAATGAAAAGAGAAGGCTTATTTTGGTAGTAAGATGACCAGAAAGTCACACATTTTAAAAAATATATATTCTTAACATTTCTTAAATCTTTAGTTAGCTTCCTGTGTTGAAATAAAATACGTACCAAAATATGTACAAAACAAATAGTATCAGAAGATAAACCAAATAGTTTTCAAATTGCCTCAAAAGGACAAATTTAAAATTGCTCCAGGTCACACATGCACAGCAATAAGAAAAGAGAAAAATTAAATAATTCCATGCCTATAAGTATGTTAAAACTCTTCACTGCAAGGCATAAAGCGAAGGCTATGCCTACACTATAGAGCCTATGCTGGCATAGCTATGCTGGCAAAGCCACCTAGTGTAGACACAGTATACACCAACAGAAGTAGTTTATTCTACCAGTGTTGGAACACCACCTCCCCAAACGATGATAGTTATGCTGACAGAAGCATTCTTCTGTTGGCACAGCTGCATCTACACTGTGGGTTTTGTTAGCATATCTTTGTCAGTCAGGGTTGTAGTTTTTTCACACCCTTGACCAGATAGCTATACCAATTTAAGTTTTAAGCGTAGACCAAGCCTAAGTAATAGGGAAAAAAAAAGACTCTTCAGAATTCACAGAACCCAAGCAATGCTTACATCTGAGATTCTTGTCAACAACATATGGGCCATGTTCAACAAAAAGCCCAAACATTGATGTTCCTCCTGGTCCACCTTGGAGCCAAAGAAGGACCGGGGCATCCTCTGGCTGCACCTGTTTAAAGAAGAGACAAAAGAAATAGACGCCATTATACTATGGGCTGATCTACACTACCGCTTAAGTCAATGTAACTTAGTGCTCTCCCGTCAGCATAATTCATCTTCACCAGACACACCACATTGGTACAGCTGCACCTATGCAGTGTAGTAATGTAGACTTGTCCTATGTGAAAAGAAATACACATTATTTGTTAGCCTTTTAGAATCTTTAAGGGTCTGTCTATGCTGCAGCTGGGAAGATGTGATTCCCCACACATGTAGACAGACTCGCACTAGCTCAGCTCATGCTAGCGAACGGAGAATAGAGTAGTTTGATTGTAATAGCACTGGTGGCATCTTGGGCTAGCCACCCGAGCTCAAATCCAAGGTGTTGGGCAAGCATGACTCAGGTGGCTAGTGCAAACCACCATCAATGTCACAATGTCCACACTGCTATTTTTGGCAGGCTAGCTACAGCTAGGCTAGCACGAGTCTGTCTACCCGGGCTGGGAATCATACCTCCCAGTTGCAATATTGACATACCCTGAGTATCTTACAAATCTCTCTGTATGCATGATTTGTCTATGGGGGGTGCTTGCCTCAAAAATAGCTACTGCTAGGGAGAGCCAGACAGTCTCTCCCAACAGTCAATGGGCAAGCTTCAGGAATGGTGAAGAGGAAGAGGAAGAGGCAGGTTTCAAAGTCTCCCATTCCAGAAGTAAAGAATGATTGGGACTTATGTTGGGAGCAGATGGAAAAAACAGAGACTTGATAAGTAGCCAGGATATAGTGGGTTGCAGAAAAACAGAGTTGTGGGAGAGAGAATTGAGAGTAGTTATGATTATTTACGATTTGCACTGCAATCCTATCTAGTGGCTCTATTCATGAATCAGGGCCCCATTGTACAAACACAACAAAAAGTCAGTCCCTGCCTCAAAGGGCTTAAAATCCAAGTATAAGACAACAGATCAAGCCAAGAGGAGTAAAAGATAACAATAAGAAAAGAGTAGTCAGTGGTATGGCACAGAGCAGCAGGTGATGGGAACTGAAAAATGCTCATTGTTAGTTTCACTTAACTGTTCCTAGCTGATTTCATTTTATTCACACTAGCAGAATATTTACTGCAGGAAAATGTTTAAGCTTTTTTCAATAGAGTTTTAATTTTTTTTCTTTTATGCAAAATCTTTCAAAACAGAAGGCATCATAAGGTCCCACTCCCCCTTCTGTGTTTTTGAATGGTTTACAGCAGACCATCTCAATTTAATAGGAATAGGATTTCTGAAAAAGTTTTCTTGATTTCACCAGAACTCCAGCATTAAGAACAAATTTTTCAAAAGTGCCTAAATTCCATTTTCAAAAGTGACTTAAACCGAGGAGCCTAAGTCCTGTTGACTTCAAAAGTGCCTCTTTGGAAAATGGGACCTAGGGCAAAAAATATTCAAAGGTGCCTAAGTCTACCATTTCTTTATCAAGAAGGCCAGTAGAACCTAGAAACACACTATGAAATACCAAATACATTAATATCTTTTAATAAAGTGTCTTCTACCAACAGAAAAAACATCATTTAAGGGCAGCTACTGATGATATTAATAAGTGTATATTCAATTGGACTTCTGTGGTAGCTGTTCTCTGAATTCTTCTGGTGCCTCCTAGAGGCCATTTGTTTAATTTGCTGAAAGCAAAAAAAAAAGTTTAACTATAGATAGTTTTAAAAAAAACTACTGAGTACATTTTTCTTTCACTCTGCAGCACTAATTTGCTTCTTTTGTGCAACAGGTAAAAAGAACTGTTAACTGGTTTCTCCAGTCTTAAGTAGCAACCCTCTGTTAAAGGCTCCTTCTCGAGTCAGTTCTGTATAAATAATGTTATCCAAGTAGGAAGATCAGGAATATGGCAGGTTATTTAACAAGAGTATTGAATATAGAAACAGTGGGGCTGTCACAACAGCACCCAGGATTAGTGGATTTAAAGCCATTTTACAAGTTAATATTGTTAGAGCACATCCTTCTTATAAGTTGTCTATTGTTATTCACAGAGCAAAGTTCTCTACATTCCGAAGTTAACTCATACTAATAAAGGCTTAAAAACCATGATGCAATGGGACTTGTCGGCCTGATGGCCTCAATTTTATCTCCATTTAAGTTCACTGTTCTGAGATTTCATTATTTGTACTGTTTTCTGAATTCCCTCCTGACAGGGGCTTGCTAATGACCCACAAGCCATTTTTCTTGTATTATACAGAACTGTCTTTCTGTAAAATATTTTGAGTTCTCATTGATAATTCTTTTCAGAGCTTTTTAATGCCCCATTTTATAGACATCCAGGCCCAATCCTCAGCTGCTGTAAATTGTCTTCATGCCATTGCAGTCAATGGAGCATTTCAAAATTTACATCATCTGAGGATTTGGCCCCTGGTTTGTATAACTGGACAGTGCCTCTAAAATCAGAAAGTTAGTATGGGAAAAGCTGGTTTCCCTGAAGACTTGGGGCAAAATCTTAGCCCCACTAAAGACCATGTCAAAACTCCTATTAACTCCAACTGGGTCAGGATTTCACCCAGTGGGTGGGTGTTGATTGTGCAACAATATATGCTGGAACTTTCTTTCGCAGAGGTGCAGCCCATTCTATTCCAGAGTCTCTTTGCACCTTCCCCCACATCCTTTTGAAGAATCATATGTCAAAAAAAACAGAAAGCAAAATTTGCCAATTTAAGATTAACTGACTTGCATTTGACCAAATACCCCTCATGTTATCAGCTGCTGATCCAAGAATGAACTTTTTAGCTTTTTTGAGCCACATTCTGTGTTACCTCTTTAGGAAAGAGGTTTCTCTTGTTGGCGGTGAGAAGCCTTACAAGACTTGAATGACTGTTTAGTAATTTTGAGAGATAACATTCTTTCCACACTTCCAGGGCCGGCTGCCGCCCCAAGCAAAAAAAATAAAAAAAAAGCCGCGATCGGCAGCGGCAGTTCAGCGGCAGGTCCTTCGCTCCTAGAGGGAGTGAGGGACCTGCTGCCCCCGAATTGCCGCAGGTGCCCTCCCTCTCCCTTGGCCGCCCCAAGCACCTGCTTGTTAAGCTGGTGCCTGGAGCCGGCCCTGCACACTTCATATATTATTACTCCTTCACAGTGGAATATTAGGCATTTTAGAGGTGTTGGCATAACTGGCCCATTTAATTGCTTACTAAATACCCAAGAGGTGAATAAAACTGGCAGGTGTTTAAGTCTTAGTGAGGTCCAACAACAGAACAGGGACTATTGGTTGGCACAGAAAGAAATTAAATTAAGTAAAGGGTGGGGAAAGATAAGAGAAAGGGAAATGCCAAAGGAAGAATAGTTTGCTGAAGTTTTTGAATTTGGGGATGAAGAGAACAGGTTACACCCTGAAAAGCGAAGTTTATAAATATGTAAGGCAAAGCATTTAGATACCACTTTTCCTAACTTTAGTGAAGTCAACTATTCTATTAATTCTTCCCTCAGTTCCTTCACATCCTCTGTAGCAGAATGTTTTCCTTGTTTCAACAGGACAATCCTCTGATACCTCACCCTCTTAACAATGCTTTCTTGAGGACAGGAAAGATCTTAACACACACTACTTGGCACCCCTGTACCTAAGGAATATAGCTCTCTAAGTAAGTTTTATTTACATAAATTCTTGAGACAGAGACCAGATGTCTGATCAGCCACCTGAAAAAGTCAAAACAGCTAGATATTATTTTGTGAAGACCCAGCTATAGAACACAACAAGGGCAGCTAGAGCAAAACAGCCATAGTGCACAAGGCCAAACATAGTATGCAAGAGTCAGACTAGTCAGTTACATCAACGCATGGAGCCTAGTGATTAGACAAATAAATAGCTATCTAAAATGGAAGATTCTAAGTAGTTGTAGACACTAACTTCTTTTCAACAGTGACAAAAGTGTGGATAAGCAAACTTTCTGAAATCAGTCAAATCCCTACAACTACCACTAACTATCACGGTCCATGCTCTGAGATACTTAACTAATCTTGGGGCTATCACCTTGCCTTATGTCTCAAAGCCACTTCCCCCTTTAGATAGAGGCATAATTTAAAATGCCATTATACAAGCTGGTACAGCACATCAGTATCCTCTCAGAGAAAAAAAATATAGCGTGATAGACCTGGGCTAGTTGATTTTAGGGGGTTTGGGTTTTTTTTTTTTATTAATGAACTATATACACCTGTTGGAGATTGCACACACCATACATCCTCACAATGGATTTATGTTGCTAACAGTCTGGAAAATATCAGCTCTCTAAGGTTCAATACTATATTTCAATACAGCTTCCCCTACATTCTCTAGTAATTTCAGAATATTAAATGAATCCCCCTGCAATCTAATAGTTAGAGCAATACTGAACGCCAAGATTAGAAAGTTACACGGATTTTCACCATAAAAAAAAAAAAAGTCATCCAAGATTTATTTTTAAGAGAACAAAGTTACGATGACAAGCTTTCTATCCTATACATGATGAAATGGGGATAATTAGAGCTTGGGATAATTCTCAGCTAAAGAACAGATTGACAAAAGTCCAATCTATACAGGAGACATAATAAGGAAGAGGCAGAAGGTTACAAACAAGAAGGCTAGGGAGATCAAGGACAAGGACGAGAATAGCACAGTGTGGGTAAAGATACAAGAAATGTATTAGCAATAACGAAAATGATAACCATTTCATTCTCACTGTTGCCTGTTTCTATAAAAAGTTGCTTAGGAAAACCCCTCTAGAAGCAGCTTCCCTACATTACAGCAAGTTTACACAAGTTTAATACACACACACACACACACAAACTGATCTGAGATCAATTTTGGACTTCTCAAATCAGTCTACAGCCATTTCCAGACAACCTGCAGCCACCTAGAATGTTGTGGCTGGGGAAAAGAAGGAGGTAAAGTACAAGCAATCCTTTCAAGAGGAATTTATTGTGTTGTCTGGTTACCATTAAATAGATGTTCACCCTTATTAAATAGATGTTCATGTTTGGCTTGTGTTATGCCTAGCTTTCAAGGTAAAGTACTGCTATTCTGTAGTCAGCTTTCTGTTGTAAATACACTAAGCAATGCCATCAAGTGGCGGGGCGGGGTTAAATGGCACAGGAGTATTTCATCTCAATAGTACGTTTACCTCAGCAGGGAAGAACCAGAAGAAGAGATTGCTGTTGTGAGTCTTGTTCACTGTGAGATAGCCAGAGTAACTCTTCACATTTACTCCTTGGAGAGGCCCAACCAAACTTAACTGCCTTCCTAGAGAGAGACAAAAAAGATTGAAACAAACATTAATAAAGAGAGGGGTATTCAGGTTAACATGTCTGTCATTACAAGGTATAAACCCAGGGACATGCAGATTCCTTACTGACCAGAGAAGAAGAGAACAGGGAGGGAACAACCCACTACCCACTCCCCTCCCATAGCAAATACTACCCCTCAAGCAGCCATACTTCCTGGAGCCTACCCTTTCTCCATGGGATCTGGAATGGGAATTCATCACTCTGAAGACCTCAGTTGTGAATGAGAGGCAACATCCAAGAGCGCTTCTGGTTCTCAAAATTTTCATAGCCTGAATACAGAAATGCCTCCCTCTTCCTCAGCGTTAAGTATATTAGTGGGATTCTAAGATGCAAAGCTCCAAAACTGAAATTTCCCAAAGACTGGGATGGTTCAGATTCTGTGTGCCATGTCTAGAGATGGGCCTGAACTTAGAATTTACATATATCTCAATTCTACATTTACTACAAACACACATGTACAGCAGTCAGGGCTCTATCTGAAGGGGAAGAACACTGATCCCCTTACTAAAAAGCAACAAGTAAAACAGATACAAGAAAAGCAATGGAGGCTACGTCTTCACTACCCGCCGATCCGGCGGGTAGCAATCGGTTTATCGGGGATCGACTTACCGCGTCTCGTGAGGACGCGGTAAAATCGATCCCTGATGGCTCTACCGTCGACTCCGGAAATCCACCTCGACAAGAGGCGGTAGCGGAGTCGGCGGCAGCGGTCGGCTTTCCCCCGTCCTCACCGCCAGGTAAGCCGACCTAAAATACGCAACTTCAGCTACGGTATTCACGTAGCTGAAGTTGCGTATCTTAGGTTGGAACCCCGCTGTAGTGTAGACCTAGCCGGAGTTTCTCTCATCAATCAGGCCCTCTCTAGGATGCAACTTTTCTTGTATAAGAGGCAACATCTGAACATCAGCTTAGTCAGCTCCTACATCCATGTCATTTGCCACATTTGTACCAATTTAAGTGAACAATTTTAGAGGTGTTAAAATGAGATTGTGCTTTAACTAGTGAGATTTTACTCATCAAAATTCTTATTCTTCTATCTCTGTACTTCTCAAGGCACTTCCATAGCAGAGGGCTATAGTTAGGCCTCAAGTTTCTAATACCTCAATTCTTTTAAAAGACTATTTTACATTATGTTTAGTAGTATTTTATGTAGCATCACGGCTAACTAAATCTGCACTTGCCAAGTGAACAGTTCATTAAGCTGCACGATCTCCTTATTGTTCAATGTCTACACGGGGATAAAAGCCCCGCACCACAGCTGCAGCTAATCCAGGTCAGCTGACTTGGGCTCAGGCTGCCGGACTAAAATTTGCTGTGTAGAAATTCAGGCTCAGGCTGTATCCTGAACTCTGGGACCCTCCATCCTCACAGAGCTCAGGCGCCAGCCCAAGCCCAAACATCTACACAGCAATTTTTCATCCCCGGAGCCCAAGTCAGCTGACCTGGGCCAGCCACAGGTTTATTTGTCTTTGTGTAGACATACCCTATAGCTTCCAAGCTTCAGTAATCAACAGCTGTTCCCAGTCATTAGTGCAAGTTAGTACGGTTACAGAAAGTTTAGAAAGAGGTAAGTTTTCTAGGCAGGTAACTTGTAAACGTCTTCTTACCTTCCTCAATTCTCCCACTTTCAATATAAGGGGTAAGGAAGAGTGGCTGCCCTGGGTCTCCTCTTGATGGTGTGGAACACAGGATTCTTTTAAACATGTTGCGAAAGACACTCCATTGTTTATGAGCACAACCTAGCTTGAAGGTCAGACTCAGGCTCAGCAAAGTCAGCAGAACAGTCGCCTTCCACATTTTGTCATTTAATCCCCCTAGAAAAGAAAGCGTACCACAAGTCAGACACAAAAAGGAATTTGCTGCTGCAATCCCTTTGTTTTGCTTAATGGTTTGTCATGTCATATAGTTTTATCCCCATCTTAACACATGTATTAGGAATCCTCTAGGCACCCATTATCTAATATCTAATGCAGAACAAAGCACTTTCACTTCTGTAAGTTGTTCTCACTTCCACAGCAATAAAGCAGAAGTATGGAGAGTTGCTGCTGTCTTACAAGCACAAAGCAGACAACTTGTACTACTGAGGGGAAACCGGAAAGCTGTCACAAATATTCTTAAGAGGCGAGATCCGACATCAGTAATATTATTCTTAAACCAGAGAGCGGCCCAAACTACAGAGTACAAGTTTTGCTCTTTAGTATCTTGAACTTTGGAGTTTTTTTCCCTCTGGGATATTGGCTCAGGCCCACACCCACATCAGAGTTAAAAAAGTGATTTTTGCATTTTAAAAACAACCTACGTACAAGTCTTATGTGCAGCGTTCAATATTGTTTCTCCTTCAATGGTTGCAAGTACAAAAACCACAAAAACAAGAAACAAAACACCAACACAGAAAGCAAAATATTTAAATACTTAAGCTCTTTGGTGTAGAGACCATCTTTTTCTTATGTGTGCAAGGTGCCAAGCACAATCCCCGATCTGCACCTACAGGCGCTACTGTGATATAAATTAATCATTCTAATACTTCCTTGTGGTGTTTCTGACATCAGTCATTGGAGGAGAAGGGAGCAATTCATAGGTAAGAGAAAGAGTTTTCAACTGTTATTTTTATAGTGTATTTGTAGTTGTCAAGCCTACACGTTGAGGATTTGGGGATTTTATCTGTACAGCACTGTACCAGGGCACTAGGTCCTGGAAGTGCAGGTGTGGCCCAGCACAGCTGGGGATTCTGAGGGATGTAGTCCACCTGGACTAAGGCCTGGTCTACACTAGGCTTTTATGTCGAATTTAGCGCCGTTATATCGAATTAACCCTGCACCCGTCCACACCAGGAAGCCATTTAGTTCGACATAGAGCTCTCTTTAAATCGATTTCTGTAATCCTCCCCAACGAGAGGAGTAGCGCTAAATTCGAAATGGCCATATCGAATTAGGCTAGGTGTGGATGGAAATCGACGGTAATAGCTCCGGGAGCTATCCCACAGTGCACCACTCTGTTGACGCTCTGGACAGCAGTCCGAGCTCGGATGCTCTGACCAGCCACACCCCGGGAAAATTTGAATTCCTTTTCCTGTCTGGGCAGTTTGAAGCGCAGTTTCTGTTTGGACACCGTGGCGAGCTCAGCAGCAGTGGCAGCAGTGGCAACGATGCAGAGCTCTCCAGCAGAGATGGCCGTGCAATCCAATAGAAAGAGGGCCCCAGCATGGACGGATCGGGAAGTCTTGGATCTCATCGCTGTGTGGGGAGATGAGTCCGTGCTTTCCGAGCTGCGCTCCAAAAGACGGAATGCAAAGACCTATGAGAAGATCTCTAAAGCCATGGCAGAGAGAGGCTACAGCCGGGATGCAACGCAGTGCCGCGTGAAAATCAAGGAGCTGAGACAAGGCTACCAGAAGACCAAAGAGGCAAACGGACGCTCTGGATCCCAGCCCCACACATCCCGTTTCTACGAGGCACTGCATTCCATCCTAGGTGCGGCCGCCACCACTACCCCACCCCTGACCGTGGACTCTGAGGATGGGATATTGTCCGCGGCCGGTTCCTCAGCGGACGGGGAAGAGGAGGAAGGAGATGAGGAGGACGAGGCAGTAGACAGCGCTTACAACGCTGATTTGCCCGACAGCCAGGAGCTCTTCATCACCCTGACAGAGATCCCCTACCAACCCTCCCCAGCCGTTACCCCAGACACAGATTCAGGGGAAGGATCAAGCAGTAAGTGTTTTAAATATCCAAACATTTATTTACAACATAACTGGCATATTTAAAATATTAACAGTAGCTAAAGTGCTTTAAAACATGTAAACATTTATTTGCAACAAAACAGGAAGATTGAAAATATTAACAGTGGGTAAAGTGCTTCAAAACATGTAAACAGGAAAGTCAAACAAAAGGGGAATCAGTGCAAAGTGTATCATGATTACTCCGTCTTTGGGCGCCTCAATATATAGTCCGAACCATTTTAAAAAAATCTCACAATGTCCGCTTCATGATTATAGTGCCCAAAACCCTGCAGTCATTTGTCCCTCCAAGGGCACCTAAGCCAAGAACTGGTCAATGTAACCGGGGATCGAGGCGACATCCTCCGGGGAGAACTCCTCATACACCTCCTGCAGGTGTTTTTCAAGCCTCATCAGCAGGTTCCTGGGCAGGGACAGCTTATTAGGCCCCCCGTGGTAGGACACGTTTCCCTGCCACAACGCCAGCAGGTACTCCGGGATCATGGCCTTGCACAGCAGTGCAGCAAATGGCCCCGGTTTCTGCAGGCTGTCCCGGAGCATCTTCTCCTTCTGGCTCTCGGAGACCTTCAGGAGGGTGATGTCAGGCATGACTCCCTGCTGTGAATTAGGTAGGGGAAAGTTAGTATTGGGACTGCTTGCCCGTCCCTTTACAGAACTGCAACCGCCGGTTTACAGCCACGCGGTTTACAGCCGCGAGGGGGTGGGACAGGGCCAGAGTTCATGCTTGCAGGATTGCTGCCAGCAGAGACTCGCATTGCTTTCTATGTGAAAGGAGGCCAGTGCCACTCTTAAAGTTTTAAGCGGCCACAAGTCTACGGCTTACCATGTTTGCCAGCTAGACAAAGTCCGGTGTCCAGCCCTGCTCCTCAGCTCGCCACAGCAAGACCGCAGGCACTGTAGAAGAGGGCCGAAAATTCGACCTTGTCCTCAGTGCGCGTGTGATAGGTGCTCTGCATGGTCTTGTTCACAGAGAAAGACTATGTTCTCTGTTCACAGATACATTGCTCTGTCTCAGGAATTCACTCCCTTTTTCCAATTCCCACAGCCACATCTGCCCAGAGGCTAGCGCACATTAGGAGGAGGAAGAAGAGGACACGGGAAGACATGTTTGCTGAACTAATGGAATGCTCCCGAGCACAGGCAGCCCAGCAGACACAGTGGAGGGAGAACTTGTCCCAAATGCACCGGGCAAACATGGAACGGGAGGAGAGGTGGCGACAGGAGGACAGGCAGGCTACTCAAACGCTGCTTGGACTAATGAGGGAGCAAACGGACACGCTCCGCCGCCTTGTGGATGTTCTGCAGGACCGGAGGCAGGAGGAGAGAGCCCCGCTGCAGTCTCTCTCTAACCGCCCTGCCCCGCCACCAAGTCCCATACCCCCCTCACCCAAAGTCCAAACACGGAGGGGCGGAAGGGGCCGTGAAAAATTTCACTCCACCCCTGCGGACTGCTCTACCACTAGAAGGCTCTCATTCCCCAAAATTTGAAAAGTCCTTTCCTACCCACCTCACACAAGACCCCGTCCAAGTTTCACGCCCCCGTTCCATGTGCGGTTGTTAATAAAGAATACGTTTCTGTTCATTTCTGTTTCCATCCTCCTCTTTTGGAGGGGAGTCTGTCTGAAGGGGGGGGGAAGGGGCTTGGTCATTGGACAGGACAGTCACCTTTAGCAGGGGGCAGGTGCAGCAGCAGGGCACATATACAGTGCAGTGACTAGTTATCCTGGTCAGTCTGGGAGGTGGTTTTCATGTTTTGTGTGTTGGGGGGGGGGGGTGTTGCTCTGTGACTTGGTGGCGGGGGAGGGCAGTTACAGATCTT